ACATATGGAAGGAGAATAAGATCTCTTTTACACAAACAAAAATCAATTACAGATGGATTAAAGAATTAAATATGAAAAGAAAAACTGTAAAAATGTGTATGAGAAAATAAAGATGATTTTGTGATATGGGAGTAGGAAAGTATTTTTCAAAGAAAGCACATATCCAAGAAAAGGACTGACACATTTGATTATGTCAAAATTACACACATTTCTGTGCAACAAAAGGAGAAAACACACCTGAAAGTATTGTCAGATTATCCCAAATATTCAAACAACTTGTGACTTCAATTAGAAAATAAAGAACCCATTGGAAAACTAAACAAATAGGCAATTCACAGAGAAAGAGAACAAAGCCAACAAATGCACACGAAGTGTTTACTTCATAGTTCTTAGAAAAATGTAAATTAAATACCATTTCTCAAACATTTGCTTGAAAAAGATTTAAAACTCTAATATCCTACTGCTGGCTAAGATGTGACCAACGCAGGGGCAGGGGCAGGCGCGGTGGCTCACGCCTGCAATCCTAGCACTTTGGGAGGCTGAGGAGGGAAGATCACTGGAGGTCAGGAGTTTGAGATCAGCCTGAGCAAGAGCGAGATCTGTCTCTACTAAAAATAGAAAATTAGTTGGACAACTAAAAAAAACAGAAAAAATTAGCCGGGCACGGTGGCACATGCCTGTAGTCCCAGCTACTCAGGAGGCTGAGGCAGAAGGATTGCCTGAGCCCAAGAGTTTGAGGTTGCTGTGAGCTAGGCTGACGCCATGGCACTCTAGCCTGGGCAACAGATTGAGACTCTGTCTCAAAAAACAAAAGGATGTGGTCAACTCTTATAGGCTCCTTATACTTTGGTAGGAACATACTTTGCTGCCACTGCTTTACAATGTTCTGCAATTTCTTGCAAATTGAAGAAGTACATACCCCAACCAAGACCAAGCACTTTCAGTTCTAGGTGTCTATGCTCAAGAAAATTATTTCCAATGTGAGCACAAATTATATACAAAAACTTTCAGCATTCACTGTTTTTGGTAGTGAAAGATGAGAAATAACCTAATTGTAAAAGATGAGAAATTGTGGGTTACTCATTCAGGGGACTTCTACATAACAGTTAAAATGAATAAACTGCATGAATTATAGGAATCGGCATGGATAAATCTCAAGGACAAATCTGAAGTGAAAAAAATCTGCTAAAGACATATAGTTTCATCATTAATATAAAATTTTAAACATGTAAAATGGTATAAAGATTTATGGATGAAAACATTAACACATACTAAAATATACACGAGCGTAACAGATGCCAAATTTGTGAATACTTCTGAAGAGGAAAAAACATTTTCTTTTTTTTCTCCAAAAAGAATTACAGAAAATAAGTCTTGGTGGCATGTAAACAAGTGTCCCAGTATTTTCTATACTTTCTATTTGAAATTTTTCAAAGCAAATTAAAAAAACTAAGTTGAATTCTTAAGAAAAGATGCAACAAATGCAAGTCACTAGGAAAAAATTGCCGTTGAGGAAAGATGTGACCCATTGAAATCCAGGTGGTGGTGGGGTACTGTGAAATCTAGAATTCTGAAATTTTGCAGTTTTTAAGCTTTGCTCCTCATTAAAAAACAACAAAAAAACTGGTTAGAAATCTTAAATACTTTTTGACATGGTTTTTGAAGAAACTATATAATCAGTAAAGCAACGTACAAAGAAAAAAACCCTTGCCTCAAATAACAAAAAATGGTGAATATACATCTGTGTTTTAAGTCAAAATACTAAATTTAGAAAGTTAAAAAAATACACTTTGAAGTGTTAAAATTTTATTGAACATTTTAACTGAAAAAATTTTAAAACTGGTTAAAATAGTATTTTGTTTTAGCCAACTTTTAAAATTTAAGAAATATAGGTCCCAATCACATCTGATAAAATGGCTTGTGTCATAGAAATAACTAGATTTTTGTTCGAACAGAAAATTGGATTAAGATAAATTAAGGAGTGGAAAAAGAAGAGGCCAGAGTTAAGATTACAAAACAATAAAATATGGGACAGTATATCTTAGCAAATAGGGGACACAAATCTGGCTCTGATCTTAAGTCAATACAAAGAAGGAAACTAGGTCAACCATCTCCCAGCAGATTACAGAAACTGCTAATGCTTAATACCTTAATACCACAGATTCATTATATTTGCAGGTGACTATCATCAATTTGTAGCCACTAATCTACAACCGGATTTTTTTTTTAATCATAAAGCTATTTTCTAGTGTTCAAAACTTAGGCTGTCCTGATCATATTCGACAGGAAAAGCATCTTGTGACTTAGGAAATTTATTTTAGAAACCTTATCTGTCCATAGTAATAATAACTTTTTACCCTTTATGGTAATTTATTTACCCTACTAATCTTAAGTAAAAAAATATTATTTTTGGCTATTGGGGGACTCTGTTTCCTTAGTTTCCTTTAATCTTGGCTAAACCACTACATAATTCACAAGAGTTCATCAGCAGACTCTTGTAACTTGTGCCAGTGACGTTCAATACCTATTTCTAAGGACTTTCTTGGAAACTTGGAAACATAATTAACTCTTAATTTATTTTTCTAGTAAGTTTTTGCTTGGACATCTTCCACAAGAGCATAAGTTCTTTTTTCCCCCACCAAAATTCTTTTATTAACTTTAAACTACTATGAACTTTGGACTCTAACTTGCAGTGCAGAATTAAAAGTTTTTTTCCTTCAAGTTAGTCATGATGCTATCAGTCTCTGAAAACATCCCTTCTGGTAAAGAGTGGCTTCCAACCATTTTGAGCTCTTGGCACACTTTAATTAGAACACTATAATTTTTGGAGAAGCACTTAAAGGAATTAAACTGCCCCCATAATTATGGTACTACTTTCTAAGCAGCCATCCTCCAAGAGTCACTGCTGGGGTGGAATTATTTATTATTGTTATTGCCAGATAAAATGTAGGATGTTCAGCTAAATTGGAATTTAGGATAATATTCAATTTTTATCTCACAAATAATTATTTTAATTATGTCCCAAATATATCTAAAAATTCACTGTCTGAAATTCAAATTTAACAGTGCATCCTGTATTATTATTTGCTAAATCTGGCAACCCCATTTTCTGCATCTTCCAATAGGTAGAAATCTTTCCTATTTGATGCCAACTCCATATCTTACCTGTTGCTAAGAGAAAACTGAATTTCCTATGAGCAAACTATAGATCAGCTCAGTTTAAAATACCCTACTTGATAAATTGTCAGTTGCAGTAACAACTGAATTTTACACTCTGATTAAAACTCAGTGGCACATTAATACCATTCGCACTTGAGTGAACTATCAGGGTAAAAGTGCATACACCTCAGTTACAGGCAGTTTCATGCTTTAAGTCTTACATAGGTTAGCTGATTTACGATGAGGCAGTTTGCTCATGTACTGCCAAAGAAGAGTACAGCTAGCTCAAGAAGCATAAAATTTCAGGCAGTGATAAGTGATCATTGTCTGCCTTCTAAAAACTATACCCTCTGGTGGCTCCTCCTCTGTTATATTCCTCAATGTCCTCATTTCCAGATTTTCTGTCCTCTTCTTAGCTAAAGTTCTGCTATAGAGCTCTTTGGATCTATTCCCTAGCAATTGTTATTGCTCATGTTGATCTGTGGCAATGTTGTGGCAATGCGGCCTAAAATTGGTATTTTATTTTC